TTATAAGTCTAGGAAACGTCACATGTGAACATTAGAATTCTAAAGAGTGAGATTATATTTGGATTGATTTTAAAAGTCTATGAGGATTAATTGATCAATATTAATTATTGGAGAACGTTGTGATTAATGATGTTACTGAAATAACCACCATTTTTTAATTTTTTAGTTTGTCATAATTCTCTAGTATATATAGCTAGAAAGACATCCGATAATATTGGAATATATAAAACTATATTCTCGAATGTATGCGTATATATTTTCGAGTCAGACATCTCTCACATCGTTTGATTATAAAAAAAAAAGATACGTTTCCATTAAGATATTGCATCGCATATAAAATCATCGATAAAACTGCAGTCGCATTTATTGATGATTTTCAACAAGATCGTTATTTTCATGTGGAATAGCTTAAAAACACGCGCTTTTGTTCTCCCTTGTTCACGGAAAGAAGAGTTTTGCGGAAGTACCTAAAAATTTAGATAAATATAGAAAATCGAAAATAATCCTAAAAATAATTTTGTCGAACTATCCATCATGAAATTGTCATTATATAGGACGCTCAAGTTGCTTGCTGGAATGTCAAAATTTTTTCCACCTGCTTGAGTTTCCTACATTATTTTAATGGTCCAACAAAATTATTTTCAAATCTGTATCTAGCTAAGTTTTTAGACATTTTAATAAAGTTGTTCTCTCTGTGCACAATTTTACTACTCCTGCACAAGAACAACGATTTTAGTCTATATAAAGTATCTAAAAATTCCTAGCTAATACAAATCTGAAAATAATTTTTTGTTGGACTATCAAAATTATTATGTAGGACGCTGAAGCATAAATGAGCAATACTACAAAAAGATTTTCATTCTAGCAATCAGTTGAGCATCCTGTATAATTATTTTGATGGTCTAAAATAAAATTATTTTATTTTATTATCTGTGTCTAGCTAAATTTTTACATATTTTGGCAGAACCACGTTTTCCGCGCGCCGGCTTCTCCGAAAGACAACAAGACCGCAAACGTAATTGTTGCGGTTTTTTAGATCTATTTATTCGATGACAGGCCTTCTCCTTTTACAGTGAGAGGGCCTGAGGCCGTAGGACTCGTTCACGTCGGAGCTGGACGAAACGAGATTGGGATCCTTAAGCAAAACGCAGATAAGAAAGGCTCGGTTGCGTCACGCGAATGCTTTGCCACTGTCTATTCGTAGTCCCATACCTTGGAGAATGGTCCCCTGCGACGCGGACCTCGCCGCCTCGGGAAGCGGTTTTGCGGTTTCCGAGCTTCTCGAAAACGATCCTTCCTATTCCGCAGCACGTACGCGTTCGGTTAGGTTCGTGTGGTTTTTAACAAGCGTATTGTCCAATCGCGCTGAATAGTATCGTCGTTACGTCGCTCGGGGATCCGACACACCTTAACGACACGATTGTCGGCCCTCAGGCGAGGAATTAGCCGAACGGTGCATTCGAAATGCGCACACATCGCCTGCGCGCAAGAAACAAGCTCTTTATTCGCGGAGCCGACGACGGAGTCTGCGAGACCTCGCGTCTCATTTCTCCACGTTTGTAATTCAATTCCGAGCGCGTCATACCTGAGATTCGCTTCTCGATTTCACGGCGACGACGACGTGACATTCGATACATAAAATTCGAAATTACTATGATTGACAACGTCGTCGTGAAACCGCTATAAGGTAGAACGTTAGGGAACTGCATGTAGCTCCTGAACGAAGAAGAATTTTAGGGATAACAAAAAGGAAATCCGAAAACTTTTTAATTCAATACAATGCTATCAATCGCATGATAATATTATCGCAA